TAATTGTTTATTATTATTATTATTAAATATTAATTATTATTATTATAATTCAATATTAATTATTATTTTTAAGTAGAGTAGAGCAGGACTTAGCATAGTAGAGCATCTCTAAAGAATAGGGCCAAAATTTATATAAAAGTTTTTTTTTTTTTGGATATAAAAAAATAATCCCAACTTTACTATATTTTCTTTTAATAATCCCAAATTTGGATTATTCTGAAATAATCCGAACTTTGGGGCCTGCTTACTTTCTTCAATCCCAATTACTGGTTACGTGTTAAAAATGTTAATTTCTTTTTTTTTAAAATAAATGCCATGTGTCAAGAGCTAATTAGCCAAAAAATTAATATTTTTTTTAAAAAAAATTCAAAACCCAGTCCCACCTCTTCCATCCCCACTACCCACCGGAAACTTCAGCCACCCTAATCCCCTCCCTTACCGAAAAACCCACAACCCTCCTCCCGCCTGCTAGCCACCCCTACCCCCGTCCCGTTGGCCCTTCCCTTTTCCCCCTAGAACCACCACCCTCAAATTTCTCCTGAAAACCTCATCTCCTTCCTTAACGCGCTGGAGCAGACGAATCCCGATCGCCGGAGAGTAAACCTGAAGGATCTCGATGCCTTCATCAATGGAGGAAGCGGTGACGGTGTTGTAAGCCTCCTCTTCGATGGATTTAGCGATGGAAGAAGTGTCTGCGGTGTTAAGCATTTCTCCGGCGACCGGGGATTCTTCTGAAGGGGAAGCGGGCTGGGCGGCTGGTTGCAGTGGAAATTTGGGGGTGGTGGTTCAAGGAAAAACGATGAGACGCCAGGAAAAACGGGGACGCGGTGGTCCGGCGAGGGAGGCTTGGCGGGCTGCACAGTGGTGGTGAAGGTTATTGTGGGCTGGTGGGGGAAGGGGAGGCTGGCTAATTTTTGTGATTTTTGGTTTTCTTGTGGTTTTTTTTTTTAAAATTTTTTTTGGACCATTCAGGACTTGACACGTGTTAAGTGACCTGATATAAAAGGTCATTGACTTTTGTTGGCCGGTTTGGGATTTAAGAAAGTAAACAACCCCCAAAGTTTGGATTAATCTAGAATAATCCAAATTTAGGATTATTAAAAGAAAATACAGCAAAGTTGGGATTATTTTTTACAATTTTTCTTTTTTAAAGGCAACGCAAACATAATAGCTTCCAAAGACATTAATTAACCCCCTTTCAAAAAAGAAAAAAAAGACACGATAATCAAACTACATGCATTTTAATTAAATGCAACCATTTAAGCCCCATGCATATATCCAACCAATGGCTCGTATTTTGAAGATCTAATACGTGTTCCCTTAGGATAAACCCTAACAAAGTTTATATGACTTAACCTAGAATTTTAAAGCGCCAAGAATGGTCTATCCATTTGGGTTTGGTCGAGTCAATGTAGGTCATGTCAGATTCGGATCGGGTCATGTTAGGTTGATGGACTCATGCATCTTATTGGGTTTGGGTCGGGTTAAGTTCGGGTTGGTTCAATTCGGGTTCATGTCGAAGTACGCAGTTGAGGTTACCCCTAGCTAACATCTAATTTAAGAAACCCTAATTCCAAATAAATTAATAACCTAATATTAAAAACTAGATATAAAACTTACCGAAAGGATGTCTGTAGACACCTGATTGTGTCTTCCCAAACACCAAAACCTGTGATGAGTACCTTTCACGTTTTGATTGATGAGTCCGACAAAGAGTTGAAGAGTCTCGAAAAGTTTCCTTAAGCCTTTACCATATTTCTAACCTTGCCTAAAGTGTTTTTATTCCAAATCATTCATTTCGTGTCCTTAAAATCATTTATTTCGTGCCAAATTATAAAAACGTCCAAACCTGATTATTTTGATTCATGTTCTCAATCCCATTATTGTTTAGTTGGATAGGTTTGAAAAGAGTTTTCCAACGATATATTATAAGCCTAAATCCAACTTAAACGAATAAGTTATGGCCAAAATACTAAACCGAGCCTAGGTCCACCTTAGTACGACCCAATGATTATATGGAGTCCAAATATTTTATTTAGGCCCCATATGATCATATTCCTAATCCTAAATTAGTTAGGAATTTCTAGAATCCTCTATAAGGTTCTAATCTATCATTTATGAAAAGATAAAGATCAAACAAATTCGGGATTGGATAAAACCTCTTATGATAGTCCTTATCCTATTCAAATTCAAAGACGTTCGGATGAATTTCGCATGGAAAACCCATCAGGATCAAACTCCGTATGAAGTTTTTATCTTTTTGAACCCAACACACAATGTCAAGACCATCGCACTGCGACAATCTTGACGCGGCGCGACAGTGTTCAATGTGGTGCGACAATCTTGTCGCGTCGCGTCAAAAGTAGTTTTATTTTAGTCCAAATTCTGATCTTTTTCTGATCGTCTCGACTCTCTTTTTTCCTTATAAATAGAGGTTGTTTTCCCCTATTTCAAATCAGCTACAGCCATCAACAATTAGTCACAACCATTAATAATTACCATCAACAATCATCATCAATTCTTATACACCCAACCTGGAATTCTTAATTCCAATGTTCTTAGCCTTAGCCTAAACACATCCTAGATACATCCCAAATCATCTACAATACTTCCTTTGTGTGATTCGAATACTCCAAACCCCACTCAACGTTTTCTTTGACCTCGACGTGAAAGGTTGATAGTTCTGAGGGTTTGGTCCCAAATCTATATTTTTTTATCTTTAATTAATTTAGTTTATTATTTAGTTTATTGTTTTCACTTTCTTGAAGTTTACTAACTTGTGTATTGTTTTAATAGCAAGAAGGTCGAGACATCAAAGTAAGTAATTTAATTACTTAATTATTCTTTTGATTTGGAATAGAAATCATGCTTAGGATAGCGCTTCGGTTTTGATTGTTAGCATCATGTTTAGGATAACGTGTTGATTTTGCTATTAGTAACATGCTATGATTGCATTGTTATTAATCTGTTTAGTATCATACCTGGGATCTTACTACTAACGATGTTTTGATGATGTTCTTATGATGATGATTGTTATAATAGTCATATGTTGCTTGATTATCGATGATTTATTGTTATTACTTGATCACGCCCCTTTTTGCAGGTTTAAAGGGAATTTGTACTTGAAATCACGCCTAATAAGATAATTAATAATTGGATTTAGGTTTAACATGATTTTAATTCTAGTAATCACCAATATTAGATTTGATTGTGCATTAATAATCAACCAATGTAAATTAAACAGGTTTAGGATTAGTTTGATGTATGTATGTTGATCGAAAAGCGCGCATGAATCTCAATAAGAATTAAGTAGAGGCCTATTTAGGAGGGGTTTAACCTCTTTAGGTTAGATTCGTACCATCATCCCTATACATCAAGTCATGTTTTCGGATCACTATGGAGTTCGCTATCTTTGTGATTGTGAATGGGGTGTAACCTTCAATTCATAATCATGAACGGTTTACAAGTTCCTAAAACATGTGAAAAATTCCCTGCAATGTCCAATCAAATGAAGGACACACAAGACTACAATTCTTCGTAGCGATTTGAACCCTCCGATTTTGACACCGCCGAAGACTACGTCGACATCAAGGAGGTCATCGTCGAGTCTTAGGTGGTGATGACTCTTCGCTGTCATTAAATGGAAACCCTAAGGATGATCAACTGATAAAGATGGATTTTCGAAAAATTGAGAGAAAGTGTAAGTAGAGATAGAGAGAGTGTGTGTGTGTGTCAGTGCAAGAGGAGAGAGAGAGAGAGAAGAGATGACTAAATAGAGGAAAGCCATGGAGTAAAGCCATGAAGAAAATACAAGTTAATCTATTTGATTAACAATTTTTTGTCAATCAAGAGGGTATAACCAACAATGACATGACTTAGTTGAGGATTTTTATGTAAATTGGTCTAACTGAATTGGAGTACATGCCACAATGACAAACGACGTTACTTGGATCCGCGAAACTGAGAACTTTATTCAATAACCCAACTAATCATCCTACCAAGAATAGCTTCACTAAAAGGACTAGAACCTGCATAATGAACTTTAGACCTGCTTCCTTCTCCCTCCATTGTTGAAGATATGTGAAGCTTTAATTTTATACAATTTCTCACGACAAACAACTACCCTTAAAAGTTAACCATTTCCCTTAGTTATATATATATTTTTTTTGCATTATGTTCTATTTATATTTGGCGGCGAAGCCGCCAGAATAAGGTTGTGAAAATGGTGTGATGTGGTTTGTTCTTCCTCTCTCCTCCTCGCCTACAATTTTGAGGTTTTTTTGGCGGAATTAATGGTGATTGAACCAGAAGCCTTTTAGCGGTGGTCAGAAAATTAATTGAAAAAGAGATGATATATTTTAAATCTTTTCGCGGTGGTGATCGAGAAGTTGAAGATAAGAAGAATGGTTTCTTCTTCCTCTAAGTGATGTTAACATCCATGGATGGACGTTATGTAGCATCTTTACTTCGATAATCTGACTCATCAAAAATTTTAGATGATCTAGCGAAAATATGAGCGGGAGTTTTATACTGTTGAGTTAAATTACAAAAATTGTCACTTGATTGACAAAGTTGGTTGATCTAATGAGGCAACCTCTAAAACCATGTCATTCCAATCAACAAGGGCAAATGACAAAAATGTAATTGGACACTTTTAGGGGTATTATTGTCCGAATACTATGTAGTTAATGATTTTTTAAAGGAAAGAAATTCATGAAGTGACTTTGACTTGAATTTTTTACTATTATATAAATAACACTTAGAATGTTTTCATGTACTTTGTAGTATATTGTAAGATTAGTTACAATGTATATTTATATAATATCAACACTTTGTAGTTCATAATGATTGACAATGAAAAATAATAATGGTCGAAGTTGTGCATTGACAAACGTGTCAATTAACTTATAGCACTTAAAAATAAAAAATACAAAAGAAGGCAACTAGAGAGATGCGAAAATGCTGCAGTAATTGAACTCCAAACTATAAGTATAATCATCTAAACTAAAATGGCTATGCTTATTTCCATTAAGAACAAAAAATGAGGGAAAATGAGAGCTTCTCTGAAAAAAATCAGTAATTTTTGTTCATCCTATTACATATATTCTACCTATACAGCTTTAAACGTTATAAGCTTCCTCTCCTAGGCTCCAACACAATGGCGCAAAACCCACAATTGAGCATGCCAATTAATGTCCATGCTCAGGTCATCTTCAACCATATACCCCAGTTCTAAGATTCCTAGTGCTCCAACAGCAGTGCTATTATGTTCATGAGAATAATCTACATAAAAATTACAGGGTGCACAATTAAGGCAACAGACCTTATAAATTCACGACCTTAATTTATGAAGCTTTCCGGGTTTGAACATGGAAAACTTGATGATTGATCTTAGTAGTCAAATTCTACCCTTATTATAGTCTAAATAAAAGTCTTCAATCATCTGCCTAAGATGCTGCAATGACAAAATAGTACATACAGAAGTTAATGCACAAAGCTCATCATGAATAAGACGGGAAGGGGAAAAATGTGAAATAAGTACCTTCATTTCTTCATGAAGCACAAGAAATATTTTCTTCAGTCGTTTATACCGCTGCAGAGTAACGACCAATTGAAGATTTAATCAGAAGCTTGTTCAGTTGTATGTAGCAATATTTACAAATACAAAAAAAAAAAAAAAAAAAAAAAAAAAAAAACCCAAACATCAAGACAGTCCTGATAACGGTAGGAGTGTAGGACAAGATCATAAAAGGGTTGAGCATGTGCTCCAACGGCATTACTATTACATCCACATACTGTAACTGATTATAGGTAGATAACTTTCACATGACAAATACAAACCTTATTGGAACAAAAACATGAAGGCTTGATAGTTAACTGCTCCTTTATACAAATACACTGACCTAATGAAGTTGAAACACAAACATGAAGGCTTGAAAACCAAAAATTGAGGCAGTTTATTTTGGTTTTGCAATCGTTACAGTATTTTAATCAGTTAAAAATCTACCAGCATTTTTCTTATAATATATCCAAAGCTTTTCAAGCAGAGGAAGAATTCAATCGACTAGGCCAGGCCAACACACACATAAGCATACCATTTCACACCGGCGAAAGCTTTCTCTTATTTGTGCCAAAATTTCATCATATCTTCCAGTACCTTTTGCACGTTCAAGTTCCATCCCCATCTTCTGAAATTCCATCCTTCAAAATAAAGAGCCAAATGAAAACAGAGACCTTTATAAACATGCAAATAATTTGATGACAAATAACTCACTTTACAGGGAGACTAAGGGGTTGAGACTTGAGAGGAGGTAATAATCGCAGCAAAATATCATACCTGTATCTCTCCAAGATTTTGATCAGGGAAGAGTAAGGTTCATACTTCTCACAATACTCTTGCACATATTCATTATACCTATGGACACAGATTGAAGGGGCATCAATAAAGAGAAGTTCTGGGCACAAACAGTTTAGCTATAACTATAGCTACAGATGGACGTACAGGCACTATAAAGCTTTCAGAAATGACCACACCATTCATGATAATAAGTATGAAGCTTTAAAACTACTTACTGTGAGAAATTTTTAACCGGTTCCTTGAGCTCTGGCTCTTCCTTTTCATACTTGTAGAATGAATCATCTGAAAAGGACTCACTCCTTTTGCGCTTATTAATACCACCTTGGGTATTCGGAACATCTCTTCTTCTGCCACTAGCATCTTTTTTCTTTTTGGTCAGATCACTAGCATCTTTTTTCTTTTTGGTCAAATCACTAGCAGATTTTATTATGTTAGATTTTCTTGACTTATTTCCTCTCCCCTTGCGTGAACCCATTTCTTGTCGGGAGTCTTCTCGTTGTGAATGAACGTGAGATTTTTTGTGTGTTACTCCATAGCCTTCAACTTCAGTTTCTTGATTAGCAACATCCGCATTATGCCCCAATCTGCTACGATCCACGGCTTTGTTGGAAAAAGACCCAACTTCAGCATGACCACTCCTTGATTGTTGTAGCTGAGATTGCAAATCCCCATGAGGACGGGAACCATCTTCAACATAAGGTTCTGGAGACCTTATCTTTGACAAACTGTCAGAATTATTTGGAGCTCCTCTTGCATTTGGGAAGGAGGTGTTACCGGACTCTATGACTGGCTTGCCTGTGGATTTGCTTCTCAAATCTGGATTCTGAGAACCTGAGGTGCCTGATTTCGTCTCTGACTTCTTGAAGGAGCTTATCCTTTCAAACTGCCTTTTACTCTCTTCTGATTCCTCTGGCAAGGGATCACGAAGTTCACCCAACTCCAGGTCTGATAGTTCTCTTTGGAGCAATCTTTTGCCACCAGGAGACCTGTCAAACTCAGCCTTGCCATTATCCTTCAAAGAGAATCCCGTGCGTAACCTCGAAGAAGTTCCCAATGATTGTGCCTTATTATCCCATTCACTATGCTTTCTGTGGTGAGGCTCCGGGCGTACTGAGCTCTTCTGAGCAAGAGGATTTTCTTTAAACTTCCCATTTGCTTTCTCATTTGAACTATCTTCCTCATCCTGTGCCTCTCGGAAACCCTTGTCGTATTTTGAAAAACAATCTTGTGTTAGTTGTGTATAATCATTTGTCTTCTGTAGTTTTGAATCTACCCCCAAACGTGCAGCAGGCCCTCGACCAGACTGTAAGGACTCCACAGCAGATTTTCCTGGAATAACATAGTTATATCCACTCTGCACGCCTAGATTTGTGTTAGCACCCTCATCAATGCTGAACTGATTTGGCTTTTGCACGTTATGACTCTCGTGAATGTCTTCACTCATTAAATCAGCAGAATGATTTGGCGAACTCCCCAAGTTATGTGATTCAATATGCCTAGAAACTGTAGGCTGAGTCGGATTTGCTTTAAATCTTTTGACATGATCAGCATCATGCTCAAACTGGATCTCATTGGATCCTCTTTTAGATTTACCCCCAGACTTCACAAAGTCATGATTCTCAGGTTGAATATCATCTATAACATCTTCTTGCTCAGTAACCACGTCTGCCCTATTACATGGTTGAGTTTGATCATGATCAGAAGCTATCATTTTCTCAGTAATTATACCAAGATTTTGAGGAACTGTTGCCAGCTGAGATTCATTATCATCAAGAAAATCAGTCCCAATGTCAACATCCTCAGATACATAGCCATCTTGATCTATATTTCCTCCATCTTGTTCAGTACCTTGTAAATTCTTGGGTTCTTTGTCATCATCACTTATTATATCAACATCCACATCAGATGCTGAAGAAGAATCATCACCTTCACTATCACTGCTACTAGCACTCCCACTACCTGCAGGACTTCTACTTCGGCTTGCACTATCACTGCCACTGTCACTACTTCCACTATCACTATCACTGTCACTTTTACTGTCATTAGATCTCACTGTTTGACCTTCATTGTTGACAGGGGGTTCATCATAACCAAATAGATCGGAAAAGTGTTGTGATGCATCAATTTTTTCAACCATATTTGACTCTTCATCAACAGTTTGCACCTGTTCCTCCACATCCATAGCTGGGGACTTCTCTGCAAATCTTAAGTCTGGAGCTGATACTTCAACAAGGTTATCTTCTGGAACAAACTTCTGATTATTGTCATCAGAACTGAAAAGCAACATCAGAAAGTGAATGATGATCACCTAAATAAAGGTTATGCAGCTGAACTCTGCAGTAATCTAATATATACTTCCTTTGTTCCCCTAAAATCGTAATTATTGCAATATTACAGGAACGAAGGAAGTATATCTAATTTATAAAGTGAAGAGCGGTGTTAGGGGATAGATTTCACTTTCCCAAATTACCCTTTCTCACCTTTTTTTTACAAAAATAAAAAACTACCATCCTAAATTTTTTTTACAAAAAATTTATCCTTTTTTTAGGATAATACATTCATACTTGTACTTATCAACCATTTTTATTAATTACTCAATTAAAAAAATACTCTATGACTTCATCAATTGTTTTTTCTTTTTTTTAATAACAATTTTTATTTTTATAATTTTTTTTTACTAATATTTTTTTTTTTATCAACAATTTTTAAATTTGCACCAGTAACATTAATAGAGTTGTTTCCTATATTGCGTTTATTAGCTTATACTACCTCCGTTTCCTATCAATTGCAACAAAGGGTATTACTTGTGAGACATAAAATAATCCTTTGTTGCAAATAGCAAGAAACGGAGGTAGTATATATAAAGGGGAAATTTTTCAAGAGATTTTAGAAAGCCACATAGGAAAATAGTGTATTTTACCCAATAGAAAAAGTGATTTGCAATTTATTTTTGAATTAAAAATTAAATCACCACATAAACAAAATAAACAAATTAGATATAAGACTTTAAATTCAAAAACCACGTAGGCATAGAAAAATTTGATAGTTTAAATTAATTTAAAAAAATAAAAATATTATATTTTTTATTAGAAATTTTATCTAATTGTCTAACGAAAGAGAAAAGAAATTTAAAATTTATTTTATAATATAAAAAAAAAATTAAGTAAAAAACAAATGACTAAAATTATCTTATTTATCATAAAAATATACAATATATAAATAATTGATTTTAAAAAAAATACAAACAAATTGTGCATCGCACGGGCGTTATCTAGTTTACCATATAGTATGCATAGCAAGATAAATGGTCATGGCCATTTCCAATTACGGCAATTAGTCTATAAAACCAATTTCATCTTCTAGAAAGTTCACAATGAAAATTATTTGAAAGAGAAATTTGAAATGTATCTACACAACAAACAATATATATATATATGTATAAAGGGGAGTTTTTTCCCGAGATTTTAGAGCGCCACGTAGAATTTTAATTTTTAAAAAATTATTAAAGCGCCACATAGAATTAGTATTTTTAAAACGGTACGATAGGATTATGCCACGTAAGATAAGTTTTTTAAAGTGCTACGTAGGATTTTGATAAAAAAAGCGCCACGTAGGATTATAATGCTACAATACGATTATGCCACGTAATACGATAAGTTTTTTTTAAAACACTATGTAAGACTATAATATAAGATTATTATTTTTAAAAAAATATCACGAATAAAATTAAATAATTTATTTGGGTGATAATGGAACCATTATGATAAAATTTTACAAAAATTATATAAAGGAGAGTTTTTCAAGATATTTTAGAGCATTAGACAGAAAAATATTATTTTTAGCCAATGAAAAAAAAAAAGAATTGCAATTTATTTTAGATCTAAAATTTTATATTAATTATAATAATAAAATCAGCACATTTTCCGTGTGGCTGGCCATATCGGGGGCCGGCTGAGATATACCAAAACATTGACCGGGTAACCCCTGACAGTCGGAGTCCGAGTAACCCCTCATCGATCGAGTAACCCTTGACCAACTGAATAACCCCTAACCAATTAACCCGTGACCAGCCACATATGACACTTTGTGAAATAAAATAAAAAATGCAAGTAGTAAGTAAGCGAATATCACAAAGTTTAGGAGATAAATATATATTTAGTAGAATATTTTATTTGAAAAAATGCAAACAAACCGTGCATCGCACGAGCTTCATCTAGTCGTATTGATCCAATATTAGATACTCAAAAGATAGTGACTACATCTTTACTCAAGAAACACCAGCAGAACACTGAACGAACAAATTACTTTTCGTTGACTGGAAAAGGAAAATTTTCCACAATATCAAATTTTATTGGCTTCAACATGCTCAAACTAACTCTACAGCTGAGTGATAACATTACTAATCAGTAAAATTTCAGGAACATAAGAACAGGGGTTACCTTCCATTATCAAAATATGACTTCTTCAAGCTTTCCTGCTCCACAGCCGACTTCAAAATGTATCTTCCAGGAGGTTCATAAGTTGCAATCTAAGGCAGCAGATCTCATCAGAAAACATTATACTACATATAAGAACTATTACTGACAAAAAAATAGATATGTTTTACACTCACTTTCTTAAGAATGGGCTCAATTTTGCGAACAGAGAGGGAAGTTGTATCTCCAACAGCTTTCTCCAATGCCTGGACATCATCAAAGATACATAAGGAAACCTCTAAGAATTCTAGTTGTAGCCAATGTACAAGAAAAAATTCAGATTACTTGAACCACCACCCCCCCCCCCCACACACACACACACAAAAAAAAAAAAAAAGGCAGTAAGACTGTAAAACCTTGGGGGGGGGGGGAGGGGAATTCTACTCTTATCTACCTTTATGCTCATCCCCTTTGGATTCTCTTTCAGCAATGTTACTAGGTAGTTCTGTAGATCCGATATTCCAGCTCCTTGATTCTCTTTGTGCACTGCTGATTCAGGCACCCTGCCAGAAACCGAGGCAGGGACATCATTCACAGAGCTGACAGCATTTTCCTGATCCCTAGCTTGGTTAGGTATTGAATTCTCTGCAACAATTTGACTTTCAGTAGCATTTCCTCTATTTAAAGAAGATGCCACAGAAACAGGCTGGTTCTGAGGTGATGGCAGAGGTGAAGTTGAACGCCTTCCCTTTGCAGTAGCAGTTAAGGAGGATCCAGTAGTTGACTTCACAGGTTTAGGAGGTCCGCCAACTAAAACATAAGAAAACAGCAAACATCAAAAAAGAGAAGACTGCGTAAGAATATATATATAATCAACATAGAGGTAACTTTACCTTGTGATGGCTCAGATAGTCTCCTGTTTTTGGGTTTAAACTTCCATGGATTAACTACAAAAGAATGAGATCAGAAATATTAGCAATCACCCATAGTTGAGATAATTCTAGATTGACTCAAAGTTAAGATTATAATGGGACAAATGACAATATTTGGGGACTTGGTATTATTCCTCTTAAGTTTTTCCTAATATAAACACTTTCAAAATTTTGAATCCCAAACAATTGTCTTGCCTCACAGATAGTGATTATTTTCCATAATCCTCCTCCCTCTTTCCCACAACCCCAAAAGGAAATAGAAAAAACACAACAGGGAGTAATAGATTCATGGCTCTAATCTCTAACTTAAGTAGTGGTGATGAAATATACTCGTGCACAATAGACAATATATAATACATCCATCACATGTTAAATTATAGAGGAATTAATAATTTAAAGGAGCTGATACTCACCCTCTGCAGCAGCAAATGCTTGCATTTGACTCTTCATAGGGGGATTGCATTGGTCCAAGACAATAGCCCTATCAAGATCAACATGTGAGCTGTAAGAAAATAGTGGGAGAAGTAACACAACAAGCATAATCTCTTTGTTCTTTAAAGCCAATAAATAAACAACAGAGGTCAATTTCTTGTCATGTATCATGACATATAAAGGTACACCCAACCCAAATACCTTCCTCAAAATATGCATCATGATTAACAATACCCCCTCTATCTCAATATTCCCTAAACACATAACTGGACTGCTGCTGCCCTTCCATAGCACAAGAAATGGCTAAATAATGGATCTAGGAAGATGATTTTCAACAAATCAAATAACATAGAGCCACCTAAGAAAATAAATCAGCAACTAAATTGTATAAGTGACAAGAAATGCCTACATGGAGAAAACAAATCTGTGTATTCAGTGAAATAAGTAAGACCACCAACATTTAAACATTAATCATACACCACAGCAAGTAAAAGCAGAAGGGACAAGCACCTGAACAGCAATTATACAATTGTCAGACACATGAACTAAGTTTCAAGTTTTACAGCAAGATTCTAAAAGCGATAAGACTAAGGAAGACCCTTAAAACACCTTGATAATACCTTATAAACAATATCATGTTGTAAAAGCATAATGATGTAATACATTAAATCCTGTAGCACAAGAAGATTATCCACAGCACATTAGGTGGACAGACATTTAATACAAAAATATTTTCTCAGCCACGAAGATTAATGTATGAAGAGTATAGATATAAATAAATATGCATATATATACATAAATAAAAGTAGATATCCATATATGGGTGTGTGTACTGTACAACATACTTGCGTGATTTGAGTTTCTGCTCATATTCTTCTGATCTCTTCTTAACCTGCTTCTTAGTGGACTCGTCTAAGACACGCTGCACATTCAACTTGCGCCATGCACAACCAGATTCAACAAGTAAACCATTACCGTCTTCGCCACTCTGGCGTTCTTCATAGATGTCACAAAGGCCACCCATTTCATGCGACCACGTAAATCGATATTCTTTGCCACCCACATCAATAACCTGAAAGAAAAATAAAAGTATAATTATATAACAAGTAGAAAGAGCCACCATGGAAAATCATGCCAGTGATAATACTAAGATCATTAGGGTCCACATGAGATATAATATGGGATTGAACAGCCAAAATTTCAAGTTAAGGGAAGCACCGTAAATACCCATTACCCCTAAAGAACTTTGTTGTATTGGATTTTTGTTTTCAGAAATCTGCTTCGAATAGAAGCACACCAAATCTCTTAGACTTCTGACCAAAGACTTTGCTAAAGTCAATTAAGTAACCAATTTGAATATACATGCTGCCAGTAGCTTCCTCAAGAGCTTTACCTAAGCTTGTCTACTAGCATAATTTCATGGGAAGGGCATAGCAATGAGCACCAAATACTAAACCCTATGCATAGAAATATAAATGATAAAATGAACAAACAATAATAAAACACTTATTCTTTTCATCTTGTCCTGATCCCTTCTCTTTTCTTCCTTCCACTCCATTTCCTTCTAATCAACCATTATAAAAAGACATTGGGAAATTTGGGAATATGAGTAAAACTACGTTTGATTCCAACAGGAAGGGGTGGACGGCATAAATCAAAGAATTTATCTCCAACAATCATTGACAAAGTCACAAAGATCAGCTTCCTTCATTCACCTTTAACAAGTGTTATATGCTCCTGCAAACCCAAAAACTCAAATCTTCTATCATTCAACTCCCTCCATCCAAGTGATCGTCAGCCACCCTCAAATTCTTCCATAAGTGAATTTTCTACCCAAACCAACAAGGCTCATGCTCATGGATGCGACTAAATTGATTGTATAATGTTGTAAATTAAGTAAGCAACTTATTTTTCCAATAGCAATTTTAAAAAGAGAAAAATGCAAATGTAACTAAAATTATCATTTGATTAATAGTTTACTGAGAAAACTAACAGAACAGAATTAACTAAACGATTTTCACATTTCATTCCTAATTCACTATTTCCAGTAAAATCAGAAAATCAAAGTTTCTGCTTAGTTTTCCACACTTCTACCACCATTACTAGTTCAAATTACACTACGAACCATTTCCGAACACAAGAAGTAAAATCATTAACATTCCAACACAAAACACATTGATCAAATTAACAAACACAAAAACAACCAAAATTCAAATTAATCCAAATCAAACCAAACAATAAAAACCACAATAACTTCAATGAATCAACAACAACAAACAAAATTTACTCACATTGCCAGGAGGATTATTAGGGTTAGAATCAAATTTAATCCGAGCAGCACCACCTTGAGACTCAACGCGCTTGATCTCATCAACGAGGTCAGGAGCAAGACGAATGGTTGCGGCGAAGGAGAGAGGATTGCAGGGGATAAGGGTGAAGGATTCCTCAGATTGAGGCGGCGCCGTCGTTTCCGGCGCAGGAGACGCCGACGACGATGACGGAGGCGGCGGTTTGCGGGAGGAGTGAGAAGGTCGGGCGGCGAAGGAAGGGCGTTGAGGTGGTGGTGGAGGAAAGGAGTTGCGCTTGGAAACGGAAGCACCACCGCGAGCGCCGCCGCCTCGGGCGAATTTATGGGACCCGCCGTACATCCCTAAGTTTAAGTCTCGCTTTCTCTGTCTTTTTTCTCGTCGTCTTCTTCTTCTTCTTCTTCCCTGTATTCTTGTTGTTTCGGTTATGTTTAATTATTTTATTCAATTTTTTTTTTTTTTTTTTTTTTTGAAAATTTAATAAGAATAATTCCAACTATTCCCTCCCCTCTCACCTTTCCATTTTAATCCCAACTACGAGTATTATTTATCCGGTAATAATCTCAACTATTAGGGTAACATTCTCAAAATAGTCTTAATTGTATGTTTACCTGATAAACAGGTAATTAGGGTGGCGTGTTAACTTGCAGTTGGGTTATTTTTATTTATTTTATTATCCTTCCCCTTCCCAAACAAAATTCCTCCCTATTTCAGATCTCTGAAAACCATGGTTTCGGTGTCCAACACCACCCAACCTTGAGTACTAGCTTGACTTCGTTGCCCTTCACTTGAATTATTATTATTATTATTATTATTATTATTATTATTATAACAAAAACCTACAAAGTCAATTAATTTACAAGAAATTAGTGGGGAGTCGAGATACAATCTGCGCCCCCACCCCTCTAGTTATAGCGAACCTGATCATGTTGAAGATGTGAGCAGTTGCAGAGCACCAATATCATGAGTCCTAACGAACGCCTGAACCCGCTTCAACAACGCAACAACATCCTTCTCTAATTCTCCCAATGAAGAAAAGGAGAAAGGAAGAAAATCATAGCCAATAGCCCTGCAATGCGCCCCATACTTGTCTCGCTTCCGCTGAGCCGCAGCCGACACAACACGACCAGGAACGAAGTCAGACAACCCAAATTGTGTCAAAGGAGAAGACCCCGTCAAGTCAACACATACATCAAGGCCTCTATCCCAGGAATAAAGCAGCACATCTGCTCATCGAAAATAGGCAAAGTCATACAACCTACAAAAAATTATTATTATTACTATTACTATTACTATTACTATTACTATTACTATTACTGCTATTACTGCTGCTATTATTGCTACTATTATTGTTATTATTACTACTATTATTATTACTACAATTATTACTACTACTATTATTATTATATCTCAAAAATAGACAAAATCATACAACCTACAAAAAATTAGTGGGAAGTCGAGATACAATTTGGGCCCCCACTCCTCTAGCTATAGCAAAACCTATCCTATTGAAGATATGAGCAGCAGCACGTGCCCCAACGTCCTGAGTTTTCGAGGACTTCTGGATCCGATTCAACAATGCAACAGCCTCCCTTTCTAATTCCCCAAGTGAAGAGAAAGAGAAAGGAAGGAAGTCATATCCAATTGCTCGACAACTGGATTCGTACTTGACTCGCTTCCAATGGGCCGCATCAACCACAACTCGTCCAAGAACAAAGTCAGATAGCCCGGACTTTGTCAAAGGAGAAGACCCTGTCAAGTCAACACAAACATCACGACCACGATCCCAGAAATAAAGTAACACATCTGCAGGTCTGAGGGCCCAATCGTTCCCTCCAGACAACCCAATGTCCACCTCCTTTCTAGCTGAAATCCCTGACCAATAGCAAACATCAACAAGGGTATCCCGAACAACATTATGCCGATGTTTAATGCCCACAATACCAGCACAAGACACCGCATGATCACCGAAAATATTCCCAGTAAAAACCCTTGAACAATCAGAGCATGGCGTCATGATAGAGAACAATGGAACACCCAACCGGTAGCACAACACACATCGATAAGTCTTGGCGTTCTTCGTCTGACCCAACCCCGAAATAGGGACCGCCCCACGAAACACCAACAAAACAACCAAAACCGCAACCAAAAACTACCAAAAAAGTAAGCAAGAAAAGACGCTAGAAACTGACCAGAAGCTGCCTGAAAACAGCAGCCTGAGACCACAAAAAACGAAACAGAAATTGCACCACTAGAAACAGAAGGTGCTGCAACCTGCCACCGCCTATAACAGCCCTAATTGCGCCTGTAAACAGCACACAAGAAACACCAAAAACTGCAGAATTAAACAGCAAAGACGTACCGAAAAATGCACCCAAAAGTAGCTGAATAGACGTAAGAAAACTGCCCAGAAACACACGCCTGAAAACAGCCCAAAAACCAGACCAAAAACGAGCCAAGCTGCCCAGAAAAACTACCTGAAATTAAGTCACCAGAAACCACGAAAAAGCCGCCTGAACTACCACCAAATACCGCCTAATAGCCGTCTAGAAACTGAAACAAAAAATTGAGTCAACCGAACCCAAACATCACCCAGAAACTGCACGTAAATATCGAGCAAACCGCACCAAAATTACGTCTGAATTTCGCCTGAAACCCGCCTGAATACGGCCTGACCTGAAGCCTGACCACCGAGAACTCGATGCCTGACCTGAACACGCTTGAAGTCGCCAGAAAAGCAGCCGGAAAATTGACGTGGAAGCCTACCCTAATCGCCCTAATTGAGAGATTTTATTATTATTTTTTTAAAAGAAAAAATTTATATGTACAAAGAGACTGTTTATTTTTACTCCTTCGTTTTCTTATTTACAAGCTTGTCATCCTTTGATTGCAACTATTGCTAAGGTTTATTAGCTTTTGAAATGTACATTGTTTGATGGCATATAAACAACGTTATGGAATTGTGAATGCAATTTATATTAAATAGTGATATTTGAGCAGATGTTATCAAGAGATATAAAGAACTTAAAAATCCTAAAATCAAGGGAAATCAATGTAATACCCCATATTATTATACGTATTTTAATTTAAATAAGTATTTCTTAAAGTATTTAAATAATTCGAAATGAATTATTTATGGTGTTTCATTAATTTAAAAAGAATTATATTAGTTAAAAGTTTATTTTTAATTATTTAACCATCTGGAAAATATTTTATTTCATGATTTTGAAATATTGGGGCATATTATTTTATAAAAGAAAATTTTAAAGTCAATGAGTTTTTAAAGAAAGTCAAAATACTAGTTTGACTAGGAAAGGGATCATTAAGGGTAAAAAGGGTTAAGTCTAGGAGGGTTTTAGAAAAAAGAGTATAAATACCCATCACATGGGAAAATTAAACTTTGCCTAAGGTGGACTCTCTCTCCTCTTATTTTCTCTTATTTTCTCTTAATTTTTCTCATTCCCCTTTATTTTATTTTTGTTTCAATCACCACCCACACACACCACCACACACGCCGACCACCACCACTGCTGCCCACCGGCCGGCGGCCACCACCATCAGCACTTGCCGGCAGCAACAGCCACCAGGCGGGCGCGGCAGCAGCCTGCCGTGGTGGTGTTGTACGCCGGTGTTCGAACAAAATAAAATTCTATTTTATTTTTAATTAAATCTACCCTTAATCTAATTACTGTTTTTGGGTTTTGTGATGATTTTATGATGTGTGATGATAAGTATTTTGTATATAAATTTTCAGATTTGGTTTTGAATTAAAAAGCCCCAAATTATAAACCCTAGTTTTCTAAGTTTATGTATATTGATGGAAATTGTTTATGGATGATTTGAATTATTGAAATAAGTATTTTAAAACACAATTACAGCAATTTTAGATGGTTTAATAAAGCTGGAATTTTTATATATAAGCTATAATTATGTTTCTTGAAAGATTTTTTAATTACCCATTAATTGGGAATAAAAGTAAGGATTTTAAATTAAATTTCAGCTTATTTTAGAGGGTTTACGAGTGAATTAAAGAGTGTATATATTGCTGGAAATTTGTGTGGGATAGGTATTAATGCCTCTTTATAATTTTGGTTTGTAGGAGACTTCCAAGTGAGTGATTTTATTTAGTCGTGGCAATTTTGAGATCATATTCAAGGTACGTTCGCGTAGTTGATAATTATTTGAATATGTGGAAGCATGCTAGGCTTGGTTTAATTAATTTCATGGTAGTATCATGATAAGTGTTGGTTGGAATTTGTTATTGGATTGATGTTGGTAAATGGTTTGTGATGTATGAATTATTTATGATGAACTGATGATTGGAATTAATTATGTTGGCATGTTGATTATGAACCACACTTTTATCATTGGCATGATTGAGAGCATGTTTAATTTAAACTAAATGTTTAATTTGGTTTGGAATATGAAAAGGGAATTTAATTATGGTTCATATAATTTTTATTGATTCTTTAAGCGTGGGAATTGAGTTATTTAAGTGTCTTAGTACATAGTAATAAATTATATTGCGGTGCTTATGTGCACTTAAGGTGTTTCTAACACCGAGGGATTGGATTTGCGGCGCATTATGCGTTTAAGGTATCTTTGACACCGAGATAGATTAAAAAGGATTCAACATTAAAATTATGTGGTCACTAATTATTCAAGAATTAAATTGGTATGATTGATTGCTTGAATGATTATAATGTTTGATTTTGTTATGGTTTGAGAGTCATCACCAAGTTGAATAATATGTAAAATAACGTAAAGTGAAAGAGATTATGCACCAAAACTCTTGGAACGTATATACCTCGAGTATGAAAATATGGGGGGAGTTATGGGGTTTTATATTTAACCATGACTTCTACTGAGAGTATAGGACGTTGTATTTTCCTTTTTTATTTATTTTATGTGCAGGATGTCCAGTCACTTCATGTGACATTTGCCTACCCGGTTAACTCCCGGTGTAGTTTACCTCAATTTATTTGGGGGCAGGGATTTTAAGTGGGAAACCCGTTTGATGCGTAATCAAATTAAATAAGCAATTCATTTATTTGTTGGTTGGTCGTTTGGTATGTGGTATGCTTGTAAACAGGAGCAACAAGGTAAGTTGTGTGATGATAGGATGAAAGCATGTTAGTGTGTTTTTATTACGCTTATGTACTCAGCATTGCTGATTGTGTGTTGTATGTTTGTTTAACCTTGTCTTTACCTTGGTCCTACGACGACCCATTTTTAATGGCGAGTAGTGGGGACAAGTAGTGAGAAGTTTTTCAGCTGATGAAGCATTTTCATGATGGGCTTGAGTGAAGAGCGATTCATGCCTTTTTCTCATAGGAATATGATGTGTTTTATTTGCTTTGACTATTATTTATTTTATTATGCTCATGAGACTAACGTAAAGGTTTTCAGTATTGTTTGACTTAGTTTGACTTTATTTTCTTTTAGTTTGACTTTTTAAGTTGACTTTTTAAAATGGTTTTAAAGATAGTCTTCCGCTGTGTGTGTCTTTGATATTTGCCTTATCCGTTTTCACGGTGGCGGTAATGTCTTATATTTTCTTATTTCGTATTTTTAAAAGGGCAAAATAGGTATTTTAAGGGTGTTACAATCAATAATACACAAAAAAAACCTGGTATTAATTATGGGAGAGGAAATGAAGGAATTTAAGAGGAAAAA